TTCACTTAAAAATAACCTGTTTGACTATATAAAGACTTATGAAAGTGGGTTATCAAGTTTAAGGAAATATAAATCATCAATTTTGATATCATATTTAATAATAGAAATCCAGACATTGACCTACATGTACGAACGGAGGACCTGACTAGGAACATTGTCTAGTCCTTCAAATGAGATGATAAAAACAAGCTCCGTGACCGTGTACACTTAAAAAAAAAACATGAGAAATGGAATGCAATTGATTTCCGCTATTTCCCTAAAAGCACCCTGCACACGAACATGAACACACCGTCTCCATTAGCCCAGTCGGAGCAGAAAAGTAGGATGTTAAAACCCATTTCATTTGTTCTTACTTAGAGCAAAGTGTAGCGTGTAGCCATGACTACCGAAGTTTATCTATCTGATGGAATTCAACAGTTTATCTCTCGATCACAATCTGATTAAAATATAGATCTATATTTCGTTTCGTTTTTTTATACTTTTGATGGCCTACACTACATGAAGATCTGACAAGTTGTAGCGGGAGGTCACGTCAGGGGTCATACAAGCGGCTTTTGACCCCCATGACGTCAGTCACTTGATTAACCAATCAGCGTTGATGTTTCTAGTGAGTTGCCCACAGTTTCATGCACCGCATGCCAAAAACTCGCCGTAACAGACTGTTTCATTGGCTAATCCCTCACATCATCCAGAACGTGGGTTATACACAATGTAACAATTCTTCCAGATTCTAGAAGAAATTTTGAACTGTGTTTTAATCAGATCGTTTCGATGAGGAAACAAATGTAATTAATTTTGATATCATACTCAAGATACATGTAAATTGGAGGCGAGTAGATGACTACTCACGCAAATATAGACTTGCTCGAGTGAGGCGAGTACATGTATTTACTCACGCAGAATGATGTGCGTAAAGCTTATACAGGTAAAAGAACAGGCAAAACAATTTCAATCCCATCAATTTGCAGAAAAGATGCGGGATCGAAAGAATTGCTATGGAAACGACAACATCCGCTCAATTTTTGATTATCCAGACATGGCAAAGGACATCCGCTTAAAAACCGCCTGGCAGTACGCGTCTCAAAGTATTTTTTTTTAACAACTGGTGGCACTGGAAAGACACGCCGCGTGCGCAACAGTGCAACAATATGAAGGTATACAAATTGTTTCCGCCTTTTTTTTTTTTTACGATATTCCATTATTTCTGATTAAATTATTTTTTATATTTGCGCGAGTACTTAATCACTCACGTAAATTTGGTTTTACGCGAGCGTAGTGTGCGCGCGAGTAATTACTCGCGTCTCGTGGCAAGCCCTGTAACACTGGCCTAGAGAGAGAGAGCTTAACTCCACTGAAACAACTAGACATTTTTGGGACTAACATATGGATTAATTTTATTTCAAAATTCTCTTGTACGTAGGGGAAGGAAACTGGAGGAAATGGGGCAAATCCCCGAGGTAACACAAACTAGATCATTTCGGGACTAACACATGCTTCAATTTTATTTCAAAAATTCTATTGCACGTAGGGGTCTTTAGTAGTGGGAAAAAACTGGAGGACCAATAGAAAACCTACAAGGCTGGACAGGCGCTCATCCTACTCCTTGTTTGTCACGTACAAGTGGGGAATCAAAACCACGCCACTTGACTCAATGACAGATCTTACGACTTAACCCCCACGTCTTAGATCATTTGGCAACCGAACACCCCATCTATATTGATGCGATTCATCTATTTAGCACTCAAGTTTCTTTTATTCAAAATATTCATAGATTCAGATAAATATCAGCAAAATTTTGTGCACAAGCGTGTAACTTTCATTATTCTTAAACTTAAGATGCAAGATTTAGATATACATGTAGGCCTAATAAAGAGTTGGTCGTTCATGCTATAATAGTTTAACCATATATCATGGAAAAGGAACATTGAAAATTTCAAATAACTTTATTCTGGGCGAAATTATGAATTTATGAGAGAGGTGGGATTTAAAGTCTACTCAACACAAACTAGGTCATTTTGGGACTAACATATGGTTCAATTTTATTTCAATAATTCGCTTGAGCTTAGGGATCTTTAGCAGTGGGGGTAATCGGAGGACCCGGAGAAAACCCACGAGATTTTACAGGCGACCCTACTCCTTGTCACGTACAACGGGGAATTGAAAACATACCACTTAACTCAATGACAGACCTTATGATACAGCGCGCACACGCAAACCATTTGGCCATCCACGCCCCTATATAACATTTGAAGCCAGATAAAAGACATGGACGCTCGCATCTTTAATAATGTCCAGTAAAAATCTGTGATATTACATGTATTCAAATCTTATTTTACTATCTTTCATTAACAAACATGTTTTTCAATACTACCGTAGATGATGATTCATGCTGGATGTCACATAGTCTTATTTTATCTTTATAACTTATAATTATTGAGATACTTCAAACTTTAAAATATTATCTAGTACAGATAGACCTGTGGACAAGATAAATTACACAGACATTGCCACAAATAACCAACAAATATCAAATCAAGTGATATTAATATCACTTACAAGACAATGAATAAAATTAAATGAAATGGGGTTTAACATCTGCATCAATTGGGTTAATGGAGACAGGTGTATGTGTCATACAGTAGGCTATGAGGGTAATTTTACCCGGACAGATTCTGCCTCATCCACCTGATGTGTACAAGCCTGCACAGAAGGTACGTGGCACACTGTCCAGTACAAATTATTGCACAACATTTATATTATAATACATTGTGTTATAATTTAAGTTTGACAGAGTCTGTGACAGTTGGCTTACGTCCAGGCTTGTATGTATAGGAAGCAAATTTGACAAGATTGTTAAAATGACATACAACCACATACATGTAATCCAAGCTTTAGAAAATACATTTACGAAATTACGTGGGTGGGATGCTCTATATTTGTAACTATTGAATGTCTGAAAGGAAAGAGGTCAACTATTAGGTCACTCATGATATAAAACTGGAAGTCGTACACTTGTTTATTTTATTTGAAAGACGTCAATCATGAAAGACGAGTAAATAATATTGATCTATTATATAGCATGCACATCCGTAGTAAACTTGCCAGACAAACAATAGATAGGAAATGGGTTTCAGCATCAATTGGGCTAATGACGACGGTGGGGTACATATGTACGTGATGTAATGTACTGTCACAGAGTAGTCAGATTGACTGAATGTTCAGCGCTATAGAAAACAATTATTATTATTATTACTACAATAACAACATTCAATTCACAGATGCTGATTCAACATTTTTGTTGATAATATATAATAATAATAATATTTCATGGTTTTATTTATAATAAAATTAAATGGATTTAACGTCCAACTGTTCTGCTGCTACTGGGCTAATGAAGACCGGCATACGCCAAACAGTGTGCTAGGAGGGAGAGTTTGCCTCGACAGCGGCGCTACGTACTACTCTTATATCGAATTCCAACTATCAAGGGATCTTTTACGTGCACGTTAATGTGTACACTGGAACTTGTTTTTCTGTCCAATTCGAATGACTATAAGTTGTCCCTTGTCAGGCAATCCGTCCTGCACTGCGGACAAGGGGGAACCATGCCCGAAAATCGCAATGAAATTTCTCAGCCAATACCAGGATCGTAAATGATACCTCATGGTTAGCAAGCCAACATGTAACGCACTGAGCCAGGGCGGCTCCCACGTTAAATTGTACATGTACCATACTAAAACTGATTATCTAATGGCTCTAGGACAATTTGTCCCTGAACAATTCGTCCCCGGTCAACTCGACCCCGAGTACAATTCGTCCCTAGACAATTCGTATCAGGACTATTAGTCCCATAGGACTATTTGTCCCCGGACTATTTGTCCCGTAGGACAGTTTGTCCCTGAACAAAAATATTGGTAGTTCCATTATCAAAAACTGAATTAATCTTTACTTTTTATCCTAAACGCCAGTTTTAATGCTCGTTTTACATTTAGTATTAAATCTAGGCCTTAACTTAGGGACAAATTGTCCCGCACCCTCATCTAACATCTGATTAAAAAACATCCTATCAATGGTAGATTATCTCCTGGTTTCGATTAATACGGTGGCACTCGTTTGTTTATATCATCTGAAGTGGATGACGAATACTGACAAATTTTCATCTTCCCTTTTGAATGGGATTGAACTGTTTTTTAGGCTGTTATTCCTTTTGGAGAAAGAGAGAGAGAGAGAGAGGGAGAGGAGAGGGTTTAACGTCCACTCGACACAAACTAGGTCATTTCGGGACTAACATATGGTTCAATTAAATTTCAATAATTCGCTTGCGCGTAGTGGTCTTTAGCAGTGGGAGGAAACTGGAGGACCCAGAGGAAACCCACCAGGATGGACAGACGACCCTACTCCTTGTCATGTACAATTGGAGAATCAAAACCACGCCAGTTGACTCAATGACAGACCTTTTGATGCATCATGCACGCGTTAATCATCCAGCCATCTACCCCCCCTGGATATTCTTGTCATAATAAATGATAAATTTAATCAACCAAGTTTATAAGACAGAATGTTTTATAATACCAAATAAAGGTAGATAATTACATGTACCATACATGAATTAAGTAATTAATTGATTACATGGACCTTATTTAAAACAATAATAAATTAGCAGTTGTACGCAGCATATGGTTTTAATACACGGGTGGGTATCTTTAATAAACTGGTATAAATAATTAATAATACATTGCGCAAGAGCTAAATCTGTCTATTGCAGGTCTTTCTTTAGGCATAAAATGTTACATGTATATAAACTATTACATTATCTTATTTTTGAGCTATTATAGCCCGAATGGTCAGCTGTTTATCTTACATAATGTGTCTTTAAGCAATATACACCTATATGTTATTAGCTGATATGTACGTTTGTTTGTTTGTGATTATTGCGTATTGTGTCTTGTCCAAAGATTTGTTTTGTGTAATCGTGTGTGGTACAGTCTTCCTTCACTTACCTCCATATATCACTAGTTTTTGAATATTTAGAGAACTTGATAACTTCTGGTGCCATCCATGCGTATGTCCCAGCTTGACTCATTCTCGTTGTTTTCTGTACTTCTCGAGCCAGACCAAAATCTGTGATCTTCAAAGTCTTCCTTGACAAATCACTATTTTCTATCGATTCCTTCAATAAAACTAAAAAAAAAAAGAAATTATAATTAAGAGAGAGAGACAAATGGTGTTTAACATCCATGTCACATACAACCAGGGATTCGAAAACACCCCAGTTGACTCAATGACAGACCTTATGATACAGTGCGCACATGCTAACCATTCGGCCATCCAACCCCCCGAAATTATAATTAAGAATTAAATTTTTCATTTTTCTTTGAATTAAAAAACATATTCTTTTCATGTCTCAATAGTATTAATAATAACCACGGACAGGGGAGTATTACTACTGGTGCATGGCAGGATATACTGTATTGTTGAATAATACACATGGACAGGGGCATATTACAACTGGTGCATGGCAGGATATACTGTATTGTTGAATAATACACATGGACAGGGGCATATTACAACTGGTGCTGGCAGGATATATTGTAGATCGATGTATCGCATTTCACATACTCCCGGTTCTCGTATTGAATCGACACACTTTGAATTGATTATTTTTTTTTTTGCTTCAGTAACCAACATGTCATTCATGAATATCCACATCAAATATTATCCATACATGTAGGTACACAAACACTCTTAAATTTTTTTGGTCCTTATTTTCATCCATATGAATATTGTGATACAAGATACAATGTTATTTTATTTCTTTGACAAAAATTCTCGCCATCCTGTTTTTTCTTGGTAAATATTAACCTAGTTGTAAATCGTCGTAACTCCCATCTTAAAATCAGTACATTGGTTATTCATAGAAGCACGGACAACTTTCAAGATTCTAACATTGGTTTGTATGTGTCAACATGTTCTCACCCAATCTTACCTCACGTATCTCATTCAATCATATCAACCAAATCAACCACTTCGCTCACAAAATAATCCCTTATTGGTTTGTCGCAAGCTAAACTGAAATCCTATGGGGATAAAGCCTCCAGTGCCTGTGGGCCACGTTTGTGGAATAACTTACCATTGGAGATACAGAGTTCTCAAACATTAGCTTAGCTGTGTTCAAATTCAAACTCAAACCTCATTTATTTGATTGAAAGTTATTATTATGATTAGTTATTATCTTCCATGCGCTTAAACAATGCAATATGGATGGAGTGAGAGCAATTACAAATGTACATTATTATTGTATCGTAGCACGAATCGCAATACGTAACATATCGTGCTTGCAGTGACCAATACCCAGCACTAATTACTACATGTATACACTGTATGTACTCAACAAAACCACAAAAATTACATGGTGGCTACATTGGCCTTGAAAGTTCATCAGGATGTGGTTTCCCCTTGTCAGTGGTGCAGGATGGAGAACCTGACAAGCTGTCTAGTCCTTCGGATGGGGCAAAAAAATATGAGGTCCTGTGTATACATGTACATTGGCATACACGTAAAAGATCCCTTTGCAGTTGGAATTCGATATATGAGTAGGCCATAGTGACGCTGCCCGGGCAAAATTTCCCTCATAGCACACTGTATGGTGTATGTCTGTCTTCATTAGCCCAGTCGGAACGGAACAGAACAGTAGGACACTAAACCCCATATCATTTCATTTCATTAACAAAAGTTACATGCCTGGAAATAGCAATGTAGGTTGCCAGGCAATGAAACATGGCCACACATGCGTCGTTCGGGCAGTCAACAAGGGCTGTGGCATATTTTTCTTTTATCACTCAGTACACAACTAAATGAGAACATTTACAACACATTAAAATCTGATTACGAGTAACAACCCATTAAGTAATTATCAGAAAACATTAGAATTTGTTACGATTGTATGTCTCATGAAATTAAAGAGAGAGAGAGTCCACTTGACACAAACTAGGTCATTTCGGGACTAACATATGGTTCAATTTTATTTCAATAATTTGCTTGCGAGTAGGGGTCTTTAGTAGTGAGAGGAAACCGGAGGACCAGGAGAAAACCCAAGAGGTTGGAGTAATGAAATTAAACACTGTGTATAAACCTCTAGCGTGTCAACAAGATTTCTCAAGTGATCAAGGGCCATAATTCTAGCAGTAATTATCAGAAACTCTTGAAAAGCAATAGGCATCTTGTCTCACGACCGTAAACATTGTGTATAAATTTGAAGTCAATCGAATATTAACTTTAGCTCTATAGTGTTAGATATACAAGATTAACCCTGGTTACAGTGTGTGGTTCCCCCATAGTTGCATGTAAGACCAGTAAAACTTGACAACCGTTGATATATGGAACTAACACGTACAGTTTATCTAACCATACACTGTACATAAAGTCTCTTAAATCATTTAAATCAAATGAATCTATTTCTGAAAAAGGATGTACATGTAAATGTTTGTTGGACATGTGCTTACATACTGTATATTTCTAACTCTGTTTAACAGCCAAAAACACGGGCTTACATGTATTTCTAACTCTGTTTTAACAACCAAAAACAAACTGAAAATTATAACGGAAATATAATCCTATACTTTTTTCTCATCACAAAATCATAATCACACCTCGGCTCACCCAATTCATCACTTATTTTAGCCTAATAAAAATACAAACAGGTTCGTACAAGACTATTTACTTTGTATTCTTTTACTTTTATGTTTAATATTCTAAAATATGATAAAGAAGAATAGCATATACATGTAGAGTAGTGTGAAAGCTTTTATTGTTATTAGGATGACAATCTCATCTATCTATCTATGTCACTGGACAATCTCATCTATCTATCTTTGTCACTGGGTAATAAAACCAACATCCTCCTCCTTACTCGAAAATATAAACCCACAACAAGCTGGGATGGATCATTCACTTTCACACAGATCATCAGTGAATATTCGCTAGTCCACTACGATGACATTGATGCGATTTAATGAGCCCTAAATATTAACTTTTTTCCTTCTGCAAATTAAATTCTAGAACATTTTTTTTAAGCATCAGAAAAATAAATAAAGGTGTTTCAAGTATATGTAGGTAAAAAATATTTCCTATTTAGTGTAAATGGGTATGTTTCAAGTATATGTAGGTAAAAATTATTTCCTATTTAGTGTAAATAGTAATGTAAAATGAGTAAAAGGCACCATTCTGCCCGCACCAGTAGCGTCTTATGTAAACAGTGTACGCGCCATTAAGCCAATGATTGAAGGTGTGTGATGTGACGTCACATGATAAAGCAGTCATCTCTTAACAGATAGTCTTCGCAAAACCTCTGTTAAACAGATTGATGCACAGCACTTTATCTTGGAAGTAAAAAATATGTAGCATTTTAATGTTAAGAGAGAGAGAGAGAGAGAGAGAGAGAGAGAGAGAGAGAGAGAGGGGGGAGGGATCATTTTGGGACTAACATATGGTTCAATTTTATTTCAATATTTCACTTGCGCATATAGGGGTCTTTAGCAGTGGAAGGAAACCGGAGGACCCAGAGAAAACCCACGATGGTTGGGCAGGCAAGCCTTCTCCTAAAAAAAACTAGGTCATTTTGGGACTAACATATGGTTCAATTTTATTTCATTAATTTGCTTGATTTGATGAATGACTGAAACTCTTAGACTTTGTTTATAAATTATTATCATGGTACATGTATTGGTACTTGATAATCAAGAATATGAACTGTCAATCAAACATTCATTTATAACTTCACCCAGAATACAGTAATATGACCGATATTTTCAATATTCATTCTTCATTCTTAATCCATTTCTAAACTACATGTATAGCAAGAATGGTCGGGTCTTTATCTAAATCTTACATAGGCTAATATAACTTTTATTCTGGTATTAAACTGGAGCTTTAACTTATACATTTTGATTTTGACCAAAATGTTGTTGTTGTTTATTACAAATTCAACGTCCAATACATTAAAATATGATATTATGGACAGGTTTAAGTAATCAGTTATTTACATATGAAGGTTTCATAAGAAACAAAATGGGCAAAAACATTTTAAAAAGTTTTTTTTTATCAAAATATCACTTTGCTTTTGTGATGAGATGACCAGTCATTTTTTTCCTTTGTCATAATAAAAGAAATTTAGGTTTGTTTAGTAATAATAACCTCTTTAAATTTAAAGATACGTTCCCACGTACAAATTGGGTGATTTGATGATGTAAACATATTCAAACGGATTAATCTATTAAACTTTTACTTCAAGTCCTTCTAAAAACACTGTTTTCACGACGGAATATCTCTACTATACAAAATCTATTAACAAAAGTCATGTTTGTGTCACGTGACTTAGCTGACGCACTACCTAGCAACGGGTGCGAAGCCGGAGAAGAATTCATTGCATACACAAGACGATGTTGTCTTTAAATTTAATCACTATCCATAAATCATAAATATCAAAGCCTAATTAAATTCTCGGATTATCCACTGCCCACGTCTTTTTCTGTATTTTTAATCTCAGAAAGTGTTGAACATTTAACCCTTCATCAAGTTTATCAACATATACATCAAGCGCTCAATCTTCGCATGCTACCTTTGACGTCACGCGAGCAGACATTCCTAATCGTCAGGCTGCGGATTAGGCAAACTCTTACATTTTTGTCCTGTATACGCTCCATGAGTGTTTTTCAGGGAATCCAGTATTTTCTTAGTAAGATTGGATATTTCTACTTTCCATATTTACCAAAATTGTCATACTTTTATTGGAAATAACCACCCGATAAACACTTTTCTGGGAAAGTGTGTTGTTAAATAATTAATGGGATGATATGGATTCCTGATAAATCAATCAGGAAGTGATCTGGACTCCTTTAAACAATTAACCAGAAGATAAACTAATTTATCAGGAGAAACAGGACAATTCGTATCCTACTGGTGTTTACCTGTATATCCTACTGGTGTTTACCTGTATATCCTACTGGTGTTTATATGTATATCCTACTGGTGTTTATATGTATATCCTACTGGTGTCTATATGTATGCCCTACTGGTGTTTATATCCTACTGGTGTCTATATGTATATCCTACTGGTGTTTACATGTATATATATCCTACTGGTGTTTATATGTATATCCTACTGGTGTTTATATGTATATCCTACTGGTGTTTATATGTATATCCTACTGGTGTTTATATGTATATCCTACTGGTGTTTACATGTATATCCTACTGGTGTTTATATGTATATCCTACTGGTGTTTATATGTATATCCTACTGGTGTTTACATGTATATCCTACTGGTGTTTATATGTATATCCTACTGGTGTTTATATGTATATCCTACTGGTGTTTACCTGTATATCCTACTGGTGTTTACCTGTATATCCTACTCGTGTCTATATGTATATCCTACTGGTGTTTATATGTATATCCTACTGGTGTTTATATGTATATCCTACTGGTGTTTATATGTATATCATACTGGTGTTTACCTGTATATCCTACTGGTGTTTACATGTATATCCTACTGGTGTTTATATGTATATCCTACTGGTGTTTACATGTATATCCTACTGGTGTTTACATGTATATCCTACTGGTGTTTATATGTATATCCTACTGGTGTTTATATCCTACTGGTGTTTACCTGTATACATGTATATCCTACTGGTGTTTACATGTATTTCAGAGCAGGCAACATCCTATTGTATAGGCAGGCATATAGGACTGTTTAATTCCATTAGTATGATTAGACCATCAGAAGCATAGACTACACGTACATGTATATGTATTGTACGGTGTGTTTTGTACTGGATCTTGTACCTGACATTTTACATTTTGTGCTGTACAAAACATTAATAAAAGACATACCAGTACCAGACCAACTGACAGGTATAAAGTATTAGAGAGATTGTCTGGTGCTTCATTTCCAGACTGGCCAATTAACACACCTCAAGTTGTGTTTAATGTGCATATTTCAAGCTGTGGTATGTGCACCTGTATTTATTACAGGACCATATACTTATAGTACAACTAAAAGTTTGTAAACACGTAATTTAACTAATAAACATTGACCTTTATAGTTATTATATACATTACAAGGTGTTAAGACAGGTATAATTAATGGACTATCAATAGTCATAGTGTACCTGTACAGAAGAATATTGATGTACATATGTACTGAACTTCTAAATCTGAAATGAAATGGGTTTAACGTCCTACTGTTCTGCTCTGCTCCGACTGGGTTAATGAAGATGGGTATACGCCATACAGTGTACTATGAGGGAAATTATGCCCAGACAGCAGCTACGGCCTACTCTTATATCGAATTCCAACTGTCAAGGGTTGTTTTACATGTACGTGCATGCCAATGTGTACACGGGACCTCAGTGTTTTTTATCCCATCCGAATAACTATTCTAAAGCTGATATAACAATGATTTTACTAGTTGTTATAGCCTAAATGTACCAGACAAAATGACAGGCACTAATGAACTACAAGTAGGTTACTACAAATTTACCGGATATTTTTTTAATTTTGTGCTGGACATGTACATGTACATATTAAAGGTATCGATAAAAATTAAAAACACTGAAAAAATGACAATATCTGTGACTGGTGACCCATTTCCAGGTTTAACTAAAGTTCACTACCAACAGGCTTTTCTTAGTAGGCCTACTATTAGTATTCATTAACACCATACATGTACTACTGTAGCCTACTCTAGGCCTACTATTAGTATAACATTAGTAGGCCTATTGCTATTCATTCATTAACATCACACATGTACTTAGTACTATTAGTATAACATTAACACCATAGTATGTAGCCTATATACTTAGTACTATTATTAACACCATAATATGTACTTAGTACAGGCTACTATTAGTATAACATTAATATAACATTAGTATTCATTCATTAACACCACACATACATGTACTTGGTAGGCTATATACTTACTGTTACTAGATTTTAAATCTCGATGAACCAATGGCAATGGTGCCTCTTCATGTAGATAATGCATTCCCCTTGCTATCTGTATTGCCCAATCAACCAAAATATCCGGAGGTATTCGCTGTGCCCCTAAAATTCTATTCAGTGATCCACCTGCAGCGTATTCCATCACTAGACATAAGTCTGGCTCCTTGAGACAAACACCCACTAAATTTGATATATTGGGGTGATCTAGAAGCCAAAATAATTTTGCTTCTTGACGAATGTTCTCCAAAGCACTGCCTGGCTTCTCGGGATCAGAATCTTGTCGGGCGACTTTAATGGCCACAGTCTTTTTCCTCCACATTCCCCGATAAACCTTCCCGAAGCCACCCACACCAATCACTTCATTTAAGATTAATTCCTGAAAATCAATTTCAAATGGTCGTTTGGAATCGCTACTAGGAGGAAGAACATTAACGTCCTTTGTGACAAAGTTACTGGGGAAAATGCCGACTTTTGACCCCACGCTACCCGTCCACCATCCATCATTGCCTGATATGGACTCATCTGTGGATAGAATCCGCACCTCCTCCCCCTGTTTTATCGTCAATTCATCCTCTTTCGTGGCAGCATAATCAAATACTGCCGTCCAAACTGGGGTTGTTTGAGGTGGTAACAATGACTGGGGCCGTTCCACCCTCTCATTGTTCCTGCGCCAGTTACTCAATCTATATGGATCCATCGATCCAATAAAATTTAATGTCTATACCATTCAATAAATAACAGTTTGTAGTGAAATATCCTTCGACTTCAATGACAGTCACAAAACTTTTCACACTTGTCATTGAAGAACTAGCCCTTTTATCCATTTACGGTTTTGACATCCAAATAAAAACGATTGACTTCTCTTTAAAAAAATATCCAGTTTTAGTCTGGCATTTTATGTCAGTGTATTACAAAAATATAAAATGTGCTTAGTGGTCAAAGTTTAATCGCTCCTTCTGCTTCACTAGCAGAATTTAACGTTGGAATATCTTTGTAAATTTCATTCACAATTGGGGCTTGTGTGTCCTCGTCCGCCATTTTTGTTTTCATTCTCATCGCTTTATCCAAAATTAGTCCAGCAATTTGGCCTCATTTACAGTCTTGATTCAGGCCGTTTATAATACATAAAACACTATAAATATATATCAAAATGTACTTTAAGTCTTGCGCAACTTTTTGACTACTTTAAAATATAATTGTTGGTTAAAAAAGGCGAATAAAATGCAAGCCATAAATACTGAAAACCATCAATTTTCCAATGATAATAGACTAAGTCTCGTGACTTCACGCGAGATTGGACGTGAATTGTAAAATGTAATCCAGAGTTGAAGAAACGAGAAGAGATGTAGCTTAAAAAACACGTCTTCGGGACTCAAATTAGGCTACGTAGAGGCATGGAAAGATAGCAGAATTTTGTATATTAATCCCACAGATGGGGTCTCATATTTTGGACATTCTGCGTCAAGGAATTTGGGCTTCCTTGACGGGGGGTTGGTTTTACGATCCCCATCAAGGCATATTTTGTAACACATTTCATCTCTATTTATGGATGTTTCTATTGGCCTTCCCTCTAATTATATATCTTGTAAGTTATCTATGATTATCAAGTATTATTTGTATCTTTTAGTCTTTGAATATCTCTGCTGAAAATTCTAATATGAATGAAAGAAATATAATTTTTATTTAGTTTCAAGTTCAAGGATATAAACAATTTAATATTAGAATAGTAGCCTAGGCCTATTGAATTGAATACTGAATGCATGTAGGGTCAACTGTAACTACTGTGTATGGTAATCGACTGATACGACCAGATTCATGGCTGATTTAAACAATTATTAGTACGGGTAGGCCTATTGAAATTGAATAGGCCCACAGAATAGGGGCAACTGTAAATAGTAAATTTTTGTCATGTCATTCATCTGACCATCATAGCTATAGTATAAATGGGGGTTGGATGGCGGAATGGTTTGGACGTGTGTGCTGTATCATAAGGTCTGTCATTGAGTCAACTGGCATGGTTTCGATTCCCCAGTTGTATGTGACAAGGAGTAGTGTCACCTGTCCTATCTCGTGGGTTTTTTCCAGGTCTTCTGGTTTCTTCCAACTGCTAAACACTCATGCGCAATGGAATTATTACAATAAAATTGAATCATGCGTTAGTCCCAAAATGACCTAGTTTGTGTCAAGTGGATGTTAAACCTCTCTCTCTCTCTCTCTCTCTCTCTTTCTCTCTCTCTCTCTCTCAATTAATATTCTATTTTGGTCTTCAAATGAAATCGGGGGGGGGGGGGGGGGCGTTTGATGGCCGAATGGTTACGTGTGTGTGTAGGGGGATTGGATGGCCGAATGGTTACCTGTGCACGTTGTATCAGAAGGTCTGTCATAGAGTCAAGTGACAAGGTTTTGATTCCTCGGTTGTGTGTTACAAGGAGTAGGGCTGACCGGTAAACCCTGTGGGTCCCCCCCCCCCCCCCCCCCCCCCCCCGTCAGTCTTCTCAAATAATAAATAATCAATCTGATAACATGTTGGGTATCACGGTGGCTGAGTTGGTAAGACGCTATCTCGCTAGTCTGGAGGTCGGGTGTTCAATCCCTGCATTGGCTGAGAAAGTTCATCCAGATTTTCCGACATGGTTCCCCCTTGTCAGTGATGCAGGACGTAGTAGGGTCTGACAAGGACAACTTTCTAGTCGTTCGGATAGGACAAAAAAACAAGATCCCGTGTACACATTGGCATGCACGTAAAAGATCCCTTGACAGTTGGAATTCGATATAAGAGTAGGCCGTAGTGACGCTGTTCGAGCAAAATTTCCCTGATAGCACACTGTATGGTGTATGCCCCTCTTCATTAGCCCAGTTCGGAGCAGAACAGTAGGACGTTAAACCCCATTTCATTTCATTTCATTTTGATAACATGTTAGTATGGATTAAGCCGTTGAATATTTGATATTGTCCGCAAATCTCAGCGACTTTAAATAACTAAACCAGGAATTTTAATCGGCAGTTTTTTGTCAGCTTTAGCCTCTCGAAGTTCAATCAAACTGATTGGTAAAACAATGAACCGGTCTGTATGGCATAATAAATCAATTCAGCCGAATTACAAAGGGTTAATTATTATTTGTCTATTAAGAAACCCATTAAATAGTCATATCTTCTACATGTACGGTACAGTCACTGGTACTTATCGCTTAAGGCAGTTCAATAGTGTCGAGTGCCTTGACCTTGGCACTTCTGTATTCTAAATCTTGAAAGAATTCAAGTCGTGGGTTGATTCAGGATCGAGTACATGTTGTACCTTGTTTTCATAGCGTTAGTTCATGAGAGCCAAGCATTTTGTTTAATCCTATTTATTGTTGCTATAGTAACAATCTACCTAGTTATTAGATTTGGTGTATATTTTGTATTTTTATATTGATTCATGTTTTTATTATCCTGCGGCAAATAAAGTTACAGGAGGGACTCTAAAATAGATTTCGTTCGTTTTTGTTTCGGAATCACAAACCGATCGCAAAATATCTTTATGAAACTTTGTACAAACTTCTGTCTGTTATAATAGTTGCGTCTTTTGCTCATTTTGAATTTCTCGGATTTAATCATTTTTATACGCGCACATTGAAATGTGGACGTATATTGCCGTCGCCCCCGTCCGTCGGTGGGTCCGCCCGTCCGTCCGTCCGTCCGTTCATCGTCCACAATTTCTTGTGAACGCTCTAACGCCAAAAGTTATCATCCAATTGTTTTAAAATTGATATATGTTGTTTACATTAGTGAGATGAAGAAGCCTATTTAATTTCAATAATTTCTGTTTATTATGTCTAGAGTTATGGCCCTTGTTTCACTTTATTGAACCTTGTGAACGCTCTAACGCCAAAAGTTATCATCCGATCTTTCTGAAATTTATATGCATTATTTAGATTACTGAAACCAAGAAGCCTATTGAATGTCAGCAATTTCCGTTTATTACGTCTAGAGTTATGGCCCTTGTTTCACTTTATTGATCCTTGTGAACGCTCTAACGTCAAAAGTTATCACCCAATCTTTGTGAAATTTATTTGCATTATTTAGATTACTGAAACGAAGAAGCCTATTGAATTTCAGCAATTTCCGTTAATTACGTCTAGAGTTATGGTCCTTGTTTCACTTTATTGATCCTTGTGAACGCTCTAACGTCAAAAGTTATCATTCGATCTTTCTGAAAATTATATGCATTATTTAAATTAGTGAGAAGAAAAAGCCTATTGAATTTCAGCAATTTCCGTCAATTACGTCTAGAGTTATGGCCCTTGTTTCACTTTATTGAACCTTGTTAATGCTCCATCACCAAAAGTTATCACCGAATCTTTGTGAAATGTATATGCATTATTTAGATTAGTGAAACGAAAAAGCCTATTGAATTTCAGCAATTTCCGTTTATTACGTCTAGAGTTATGGCCCTTGTTTCACTTTATTGATCCTTGTGAACGCTCTAAGGCCAAAAGTTATCACCCAATCTTTGTGAAATTTATATGCATGATTTAAATTAGTGAAACGAAAAAGCCTATTGAATTTCAGCAATTTACAATAATTACTTCTAGAGTTATTGCCCTTGTTTCATTTTGTTAAACATTGTTAATGCTCGATTGATGAAAGTTATCATCCGATATGTATGAAATTTATATGCATTATTTCAATTAGTAAAACAAAAAAGCCTGTCAAATTTCAACAATTTCTGTAGATTACTTCCAGAGTTGAGACCCTTGTTTCAGTTTGTAGAACCTTGTAAACCCTCAAAACGACAAAATTTATAATCCGATTTGTATGGAATTGTCTTGTAAAGACCCCCAATTACCTACAAAGGAATGAATATTCGACAACCCTTGTCGACCGCTCGGACGATTTAGCTGCTGTGGGCGTATGTTTTGTTGCCTGACAACCTATCTTTGTGTTTCCATGGAAACAAATTTGATTTAGTTTTTGATATACAGGGGTGCAGGATGTTATTATTTAGCGTATTGGTTATGGTATATTGATGTGTATTATGTAAAAATATAAGTTCTATTCTTAAAGATGCTTTATGTCAGGGGGAATTGGATGGCCGAAGGGTTAGCACGTGCGCGATGTATCATAAGGTCTGTCATTGAGTCAACTGGCGTGGTTTCAGTTCCCCGGTTTGTTTGTCACAAGGAGTAGGGTCGCCTGTCCAACCTCGTGGGTTTTCTACGGGTCCTCCAGTTTCCTCCCACTGTTAAAGACCCCTACGCACAAGTGAATTATTGAAAATAATGTGTTAGTCCCGAAATGACCTAGTTTGTGTTGAGTGGACGTTAAACCCCATCTCTCTCTCTGTCTCTCTCTCTCTCTCCCCCTCTCTCTCTCTCTCTCTCTCTCTCTCTCTCCCTCCGCTTTAGTAAGAGGTAAATCAGCGAGGTAAATCAGCGGATTGTTAACTTGCAAAAATGTTGAGGACACGGATTAATTATTTCATAACTTGAAGCTTTATGTTGATTTGTGAAGATTTTTACTATTTTGTTTGGTTTGATTTTTCAGACATTGGAACCGACTGTAGGCATATGGGCGATATATTGTGGTGTTTTAGCTGTTTTATTCTCAGTGTTAAAGTTCATCAACTTTCACCTTCATCATATGTACGATACAGGGGAGGTAATCGAAGACGATGTGAAATCAGAAACACCGGCTAGTAAAGGTGGATCAACCGAGAACACCAATAAAACTATAGAAATTTGGTATGTTAAAACTACTCTCATTTTTAGTGAAGTTCTAATTGTCCGACATCAATTCAGTTATTGGTGAATCAAATAATATTATGTTCTATTCAATTCGATTCAATTCAGATACTGGTAAACAAACATTTGGTGCATTTTTGGTGCATCAGTGATTTAGAATGAAGGGTCTGACAAGTAACAATCTCTATGCATTCGGATGGGATGAAAAACCATGGTCCCATATACACATTGGCATGCACGTACAAGAAACCGTCTACATTTAGAATTCAGAATAATGAGTAGACTGTAGTGCCACTTTGCAGGCAAAATGTCCCTCGTAGCGTAACACATGGCGTATGTCTTGTCTTCATTTCATCCAGTTGGTGCCGAAAAGTAGGACGTTAAGCCCCTAGTAGTATCCTTTAACTATGAGATCAGAGAGCCTGACAAGGACAGCTGTCTAGTTGTTCGGATGAGACAAAAAAACAAGGCCCCGTATACACATTGGCGTGCACATAAAAGTTCCCTTGGCAGTTGGAATTCAATATATCCTTTAACTTTGAGATCAGAGGGCCTGACAAGAACAGCTGTCTAGTTGTTCGGATGGGACAAAAAAAAAACAAGGCCCCGTGTACACATTGGCGTGCACATAAAAGATCCCTTGGCAGTTGAAATTCTATATAAGAGTAGCCCATAAAGTGAACTTTCCAGGCAAAATTTCCTAGATACATGCACATGTAGCACACTGTATGGCGTATGCCCGTCTTTATTAGTCCAGTCGTTGCAAAACCACATTTCATTTCATTTAATTATTTGTCTTATTATTAATGAAATTTTAATTTATTATAGCAATGAAAATGAAGTCCCTGAAAATATTGAAATGGTTTCAATCAGTCGTGCAAGGGAGACAACCCCAGCAGAGACTGAATCTAAATTGGAGATTATTTCAGAGACAGAAACACACAACACTTCTGAATCAAAACCTTTAAAGGGTAAGGACAAAAATATGTTTCTTTCCATTATTGAAAATAACTTCATTACATTTTATATTTAAACCAATCTGATTATAACACAGATCCTATTTCGTTTTGTTTTTTTATAGTTCAAATTTCGTTTTACTTGTTTTTACTACACTAGGATCTGGAAGAGTTGTTATATAACCCGCATGTGAAGGATTAGCAAGTTTTTGGAGTAAGGTGTTAAAATGGCGTGAATAATAATATACCGGTACCACCCGAGTAACTCATTATACCATGAGTAATAATATACCACCTGAGTAACTCATTATACTATGAGTAATAATATACCACCTGAGTAACTCATTATACTATGAGTAATAATATACCACCCGAGTAACTCATTATACTATGAGTAATAATATACCACCTGAGTAACTCATTATACTATGAGTAATAATATACCACCCGAGTAACTCATTATACTATGAGTAATGATATACCACCCAAGTAACTCATTATACCACGAGTAATAATATGCCACCTGAGTAACTCGTTATACTATGAGTAATACAGTCTATAACAAAAGCTCCCAGCATACTGTCACTTGCATATTGTATCCACAACATATCATATATCGTTCTCATCCGTTCGTGTGTTCCTACAATCAGTCAACGAATTCACTCCAATTGGCCAAATTATGCAGATTGGTCGATGACGTCAAAGTTTCATTCCGCTAGGACAACGAGCTCTTCAAATTCTTCGATCGAATCAAAATTGTCAAAATTAAGGCAATTTCATAAGGTGTCCCTAAACTTTTGTTATAGACTGTAATATAGCACCCGAGTAACTCATTATACTGTGAGTGAAAATTTGTATATTTTAGTAAAACAGTGGGATACAGGAATAGCACCATTGGCTGTTATAGAAGATGATTTGACTGGTGAAAGTCCTGGTGGTAAAAATTCTACGGGTAGTACAACAAGTAGTGTAGACGGTATGTATAAAAAAACCTAGAAGCTGCAGTGACTCACTGTGTAAGGCGGTGGGTCACTAGCCACGGTTTCATAAAACATTCTCAGACTTTAATTAACAATTTATTCAACTTTCAATCACTGTTTATGAGAAATATCTTTGATCCAGAAACACAAAATTTTGCACATAGTTTCTTATTGATGTATTTGATACATTAAAACAACAAAAGTTTTATAAAAAGCTATATTTTAGTTAACATAAGACAAACAATTTTGAGTAAATTCTTAGCTTGAGTCTGAGAATGCTTTGTGAAACCAGGGCCAGATCGATAAAGTTCCCCTGGATTTCCCCTTGTCACCTGTGCAGGACAGAGAGGCTGGCAAGGACAGTGTCTAGTCGAATTTGATATAAGAGTAGGTTGTAGCGCTGCTGTCCCTCAGAGCCCATTGTATGGTGTGTGTCTGTCTTCATTAGCCCAGTCGATGCACAAAAGTAGGATTTCGTGGAGTTGGATGGCTGTATGGTTAGCGAGTGCACGTTGTATCATAAAGTCTGTCATTGAGTCGACTGGTGTGGTTTCGAATCCCCGGTTGTACGTGACAAGGAGTAGGGTCGCCTGTCCAACCTCGTGGGTTTTCTCCGGGTCCTCCGCTTTCCTCCCACTGCTTAAGACCCCTACGCGCAAGCGAATTATTGAAATAAAAAATTAAACCATATGTTAGTCCCGAAATGACCTAGTTTGTGTCGAGTGGACGTTAAACCCCATTTCTCTCTCTCTCTCTCTTTATTTCATTTCGTGGAGTTGGATGGCTGTATGGTTAGCGAGTGCACGTTGTATCATAAGGTCTGTCATTGAGTCAACTGGCGTGGTTTCGATTCCCCGGTTGTACGTGACTGACAAGGAGTAGGGTCGTCTGTCCAACCTGGTGGGTTTTCTCTGGGCCCCCCGATTTCCTCCCACTGCTAAAGACCCCTACGCCCAAGTGAATTATTGAAATAAAATTGAATCATGTGTTTCTCTCTCTTTTTTTCTGTATTAAATATATCATTGTCTTTGCAGAATCAAATCCCAACTCCTCCAAAAATTTAAGGTCAGAAGTTCCTCATCCAATAACGACGCAAGTTGAAGTTGAAATTAATCCCCAGATACCAAAAGATACACAGAACGAGACAAAGAGATTACGAGAGGAAAGTGATTCCGACCTCTCTCCCGATTATCTTCCCAAATTACGTCTGAGACGTGAAAGAAGGGCTGTGCGAAGATCAAAAAGTGCTTTGGAGCCGTGTACAGTGGCTCACATACCGATAGACAATAAACCAGCGTCCCGGATGTCATTACCTCCCTTGAATAGAGTTGCTGTGTCTGTTGTTCAGAAGAGTCCGGTTGATAATCAAAACATTTCACCCAAAAGTAAAAATAAGAAAGAAAAAGTGGTAAAACGATTTGAACACGACGGCGTCATACGATTACGAAATCGGACGCAAAGTTCGAAATCTGTTGACGCCATAAAACCACGTACAGGAAAGGGGAAACAGGATGGATGGACAGATCAAAGTTCACGAACAACATCGGCGAGTAATAGTCCTCATGTTTCACGACCAGGATCGTTGATTTTATCCGTGGATGGAAACAAGTTTATTTCCCATTCGTCATCCCATTCCAGTATAAGTGATTCGTCGGAGTTGAGTGTCGGAGAAGTCATGTTCCGCAGTCAGAAATCGCGTTCTCGTCCGGGCAGCGGAGGCACAACCAGCTCCGGACAAACATTGACGGAGAATATGGTGGCTGGTAAAAAAGTTCGGAACAAGGAAATCATGGGACTTTTTAAAGTATCGCGGTATCTACAAGATGAGCGTAAGAGGGAGTCGGGTGTTCCAGGGGGCAGTACAGGAGGTGGGTCAGATAACGATATAACTGAACCTGGGAGTAATACAGGTATCTAATACACCACAAACATAATTCTAAGGTCAAAGGGCAAGTTGAGTCGCAGAGAATCTTGTTCCATGATTTAAAATCATGGGATGATCTGTCTTCATTAAGTGGTTGGGTGACTAAATTGTTAGCGCATGTGCGTTGTCATTGAGTCAGCTGGTGTGGTTTTGATTCCCTAGTTGTATGCGACAAGGAATAGGGTCGTCTGTCCAACCTTGTGGGTTTTCTCCGGTTTCTCCAGTTTCCTCCCACTGCTAAAGAACCCTACTCGCAAGCGAATTATTGAACTAAGATTGAACCGTATGTTGGTCCCAAAATGACCTAGTCTGTTTCGAGTGGACGTTAAACCTCATTTCTTTCCCTCTCTCTGCCTTCATGAGCCCTGTCTGTGCAGAATAGTAGGATGCTAAACCCCATTAAATTTCATTTTAATTGATATGCCCCCATAATTAGGGAAAGAAACATATTCCTAAGGACAAAGGGCAGATTGGGCCCCACTGAAGCTTGCCCGAATGGTTAGCGCATGTGCGGGGTATCATAAGGTCTGCCATTGAGTCAGCTGTCCTGATTTAGATTCCCCAGTTGTACGTGACAAGGAGTGGGGACACCTGTCCAGCTTCGTGGGTTTTCTCCAGGTCCTCCCGTGTTTCCTCCCACTGCTAAATAGTAGGGTTGCTTGTCCAGCTTCGTGGGTTTTCTCCAGGTCCTCCGTGTTTCCTCCCACTGCTAAATAGTAGGGTTGCTTGTCCAGCTTCGTGGGTTTTCTCCAGGTCCTCCGTGTTTCCTCCCAATGCTAAAGACCCCTACACGCAAGTAAATTATTGAAATAAAATTGAACCATATGTTAGTCCCAAAGTGACCTAGTTTGTGTCGAGTGGTCGTTAAACCCCATTTGTCTCTCTTGCAAATGTCAACAAATATCAACAAATATTACATTTTATTCTCTTTTCTTCAGGTGATGGCAAGTCGTCAGATTTTTCAGAGAGTACAATTAGCAATGACGGAAGTTCGTTTGATCTCGATTCCGATGAGCAACCCACAGAAATCCTACCAGCACCTATATCCGATTATACAACCACACCCAGTAGTCCCAGTACAGATGATCTACAGACGTTACGTAATCAGGGAGCTATCCCTAAATGTTATCCTAAAAAACCTGTTATAGAACCACTACCACAACCCTTTCCTGTTGTATCAGGTAAATCAACAATCTTATTAAAATACATATCTATATTTCGTTTCGATTTTTTTATACTTTCGATGGCCTACACTACATGAAGATCTGACCAGTTGTACTGGGAGGTCGCGTCAGAGGTCATACATGCGGCTGTTAACCCTATGTCAGGCATTTGATTAACCAATCAGTGTTGAAGTTTCTAATGGGTTACCCACAGTTTCGTGCAACTTACGCCAAAAACTTGCCATAACATACCGTTTCATTGGCTAATTTCTCACATCATCTAGAACGTGGGTTATATAACAACTCTTCCAGATCCTAGTGTAGTAAAGACAAGTAAAACGGAAATTTTGAACTATTAAAAAACGATACGAAATCGGATCTGTATTTTAGTGACTGGATAGTGAAAAACAGCTATTGATTTATTTAGGTGACGTTCTTCCATGTGTTAATTGGGGGGGGGGGGGGGGGAATGGCTGAATGGTTAGCGTGCGCGCGTTGTATCATAAAGTCTGTCATTGAGTCGACTGGTGTGGTTTCGAATGCCTGGTTGTACGTGACAAGGAGTAGCGTCGCCTGTCCAACCTCGTGGGTTTTCTCTGGGTCCTCCGGTGTCCTCCCACTGCTAAAGACCCAAACATACAAGCGAATTATTGAAATAAAATTAAACCATATGTTAGTCCTGAAATGACCTAGTTGTGTCGAGTGGACGTTAAACCCCATCTCTCTCTCTCTCCATGTGTTAAAGTTTATAGGTATTGGTTTCTATCATTGTGTTGGCAGAGGAAGTTTTTCAGGATATTCCAGTGTGGTTTCCTCACGGAATTGGTGTGGGAAGGGATAGTATCTAGACATTCGGATGGGAAGAAAAATCGGACACTTGTAATCGAGCTACTTGACATCTTGATCGCTGAGCCTAGTATCCAGTCATTCGGATAGGAAGAAAAAACAGGCACTTGTAATCGAGCTGGCCAGCACCTTGATCACTGAGTCAGCTCGGCTCCAAAACAGAACTGAGTGTTGGTATAATATTAATTAGTGTGTTGTGTATTAAACTGAGTGTTGGTATAATATTAATTAGAGCGCTGTGTATTAAACTGAGAAATTATTATTTTAACTTTTAGGTAATACGCAATCCACAAGTCCTGGTTCAACGGATTACTCCGATCCGGAGACAATTAGTCGGAAAATTATAGAAATACTACGAGATCCAAATGAACATTCAGAAGAATTGAAGAGATTGCAGGAATTTGTTAAACTTAAAAGTAGGTTACAATTTTAAATACATCGTCAGATTTCAAGTGGCTGTGGTGATGGCGTGTGGCTAGGACAATGGACTGGACTTGAAACCAGAATTTAGGCAGGCGGGTGCTGTATCAGAAGGTCTGCCATTGAGTCAACTGGTGTGGTTTCCTGTCAGGGATTACGCCCAGGGAGTGTTTGGATGAGATGAAAACCTTCCTCTTAACATTGTACAAATAACAAAGAAATTTTTTTGTTACCATATGTTTATGTATAATACAACCTGGCTAAGGTGTTGACCATACATTAAGCTACATTCCTTTCTTCTCAATAAAAGTCTTTGTAAATTTGCTGAAGTGTTGATAAATTAATACAGAATAATTTATTTATAGAGACACAGTCTAATACAGAAGATTCTCCTAAAGAAAAACCTGTGAAAGAAGAAAGACGTCGGCGTTCAGGTAATTTCTTACTAGTCGTCATATTGAATCGTGATTTTACCATTTGAATATTCCGTGCCCGTTGTATCATATTGAATGAGGATTTTGTAATTTGAATATTCTATGTCATTATTCATATGGGGAGCCGCGATGGCTCGGTGAGTAACACTTTGGCTGGCTAACCTAGAGATTAGATAAAAAGAGTTGACTGTTCTCGCTATAATAGTTAAAAAAATAGATAACGTAATTAGAATATGTTGAAAATTTCAGTCAAATTGCTCCACTCTGAACAGAGATATTAGCTTTTAATTTTAAGCCTAGCCTCGATCATCATTAGTAAAGTCGGTATGATAAAAAACATAGTCTCGATTGTCCATTTTGGATTTAATCATCAATGAGCGTTGAGCAGCAGATTGGATTCAAATCCAGTGAAATTCCGACATATAATATGACATTGAGGGTTGATTATGGTCTGGATAAGTTAATTAATGTCTAACTAATAATTTTATAACATTTAAGACCTAAAGATAGGCTGATTTACCTCTTGCATAATGTATGTTTAACATGCAATCTTTTGTTTTGTAGAATCTAATGCTGTTGGAAAAGTTGGTCCGACCCCAGAATCTTTAAACAAGGAGAAGCAGGATGAAGGTGGGGCTGTGGGTGGGGCCGTCAACCCACCAGGTGAACATGAAGAATCTAAATCAACCACACCCACTGAATTCTCAGCGTTATTACCACCTGTTGATGAGAAAACTAGTGACTCAACACCTGGTTGGCAAGGTGCTAGGTAAGAATGATAATAATCAAATAACTTCTCATATGAGACTTACACTGTCAAGAATGATTAAGTTGAACTACAGAAAATCTATTATTGTTATGATTGAGTTTTCCTTGGGATTGTAGAAATAAAAGTTGGATATTTTACAGTTTATTTATCTTTATCAACTAGTTTAATTCACAAACCTTAAAAAATCAGCAGTGAAAGGGCACTGACTATAGTCCAGGACTAGTACATGTTCCTGAAGCAACGACTGCGAGTTTTACTACATCTGGACGTTGCTAGATTACTTCAAAATTCCCGAACTTATAGCTACGTTATCTACAGACACGTGAACAGAGGCATCCAATCAGAGGTTGTGACATGGCGACCTCCACGGAAGCCTTGACATTGAACGAACCTTTCAGCTTAGACATTTTAGCTTAAAAGCACGAGGCTTGGTATTCAGGACGACCGAGGAATCTGATACGCTCACAAGCTGGACTTGTACCCATTTGAAATTAGTGCTGAAATATGCAGGGTATTATGCGAAGGGTTTGATAAGGTGTACGTAGTTTTTTTAAAGCGAGATCAAACCTAAGGTATTTTTGGTAGCCATGGGCGTCAGTCTATTGAAAATGGGACTAGTACAGCTAAATAGTTCACTAGCCCGTAAGTTATTTTTGGTGAGGGAGGCATGGTGGCTCAGTGAGTAAGACACTGGCTTGATAGTCTGGAGGTCTCGGAATTGCTCCCAGTGAGTAATACGCTGGCTTGGTAGTCTGGACGTATCCGGTTCGCTCCCAGTGAGTAAGACGCTGGCTTGGTAGTCTGGAGGTCTCCAGTTCGCTCCCAGTGAGTAATACGCTGGCTTGGTAGTCTGGAAGTCTCGAGTTCGCTCCCAGTGAGTAAGACGCTGGCTTGGTAGTCTGGAAGTCTCGAGTTCACTCCCAGTGAGTAATACGCTGGCTTGGTAGTCTGGAGGTCTCCAGTTCGCTCCCAGTGTGTAATACGCTGGCTTGGTAGTCTGGAGGTCTCGGGTTCGCTCCCAGTGAGTAATACGCTGGCTTGATAGTCTGGAGGTCTCCGGTTCGCTTCCTGTGAGTAATACGCTGGCTTGGTAGTTTGGAGGTCTCCGGTTCGCTCCCAGTGAGTAATACGCTGGTAGTCTGGAGGTCTCGGGTTCGCTCCCAGTGAGTAATATGCTGTCTTGGTAGTCTGGAGGTCTCCGGTTCCCTCCCAGTGAGTAATACGCTGTCTTGGTAGTCTGGAGGTCTCCGGTTCGCTCCCAGTGAGTAATACGCTGGCTTGGTAGTCTGGAGGTCTCCGGTTCGCTCCCAGTGAGTAATACGTTGGCTTGGTAGTCTGGAGGTCTTCGGTTCGCTTCCTGTGAGTAATACGCTAGTAGTCTGGAGGTCTCGGGTTCTCTCCCAGTGAGTAATACGCTGGCTTGGTAGTCCGGAGGTCTCCGGTTCACTCCCAGT